ATGTGTCTTCATAGGATACCCAAAAGAGGCTATTGGGTACACCTTCTATCAAAGATCTGAAGGCAAGACTTTTGTTGCTAAATTCGGATCCTTTCTAGAGAAGGAGTTTCTCTCGAAAGAAGTAAGTGGGAGGAAAGTAGAACCTGATGAGGTAACTGTACCTGCTCCCTTATTGGAAAGTAGTTCATCACAGAAACCGGTTCCTGTGACAACTACACCAATCAGTGAGGAAGCTAATGATATTGATCATGAAACTTCAGATCAAGTTACTACCGAACCTCGTAGGTCAACCAGAATAAGATCCGCTCCAGAGTGGTACGGTAATCCTATTCTGGAAGTCATGCTACTTGACCATGATTAACCTACGAACTATGAGGAAGCGATGATGAGCCAAGATTCCGCAAAATGGCTTGAGGACATGAAATATGAGATGGGATCCATGTATGAGAACAAAGTATGGACTTTGGTTGACTTGCCCGATGATCGGCAAGCCATCAAGAATAAATGGATCTTCAAGAAGAAGACTAACGCTGATGGTAATGTAACTGTCTACACAGCTCGACTTGTTGCAAAAGGTTTTTGACAAGTTCAAGGGGTTGACTACGATGAGACTTTCTCACCCGTAGCGATGCTTAAGTGTGTCCGAATCATGTTAGCAATTGCCGCATTTTATGATTATGAAATATGGCAAATGGATGTCAAAACTGCATTCCTGAATGGATTTCTGGAAGAAGAGTTGTATATGATGCAACCAGAAGGTTTTGTTGATCCAAAAGATGATAACAAAGTGTGCAAGCTCCAGCGATCCATTTATGGACTGGTGCAAGCCTCTCGGAGTTGGAATAAACGCTTTGATAGTGTGATCAAAGCATATGGTTTTATACAGACTTTTGGAGAACCCTGTATTTACAAGAAAGTGAGTGGGAGCTCTGTAGCATTTCTGATATTATATGTAGACGACATATTGTTGATTGGAAATGATATAGAATTTCTGGATAGCATATAGGGGTACTTGAATAAAAGTTTTTCAATGAAAGACCTCGGTGAAGCTGCTCACATATTGGGCATCAAAATCTATAAAGATAGGTCAAGACGCTTAATTGGACTTTCACAAAGCATATACCTTGATAAAGTTTTGAAAAAGTTCAAAATGGATCAGGCAAAGAAAGGGTTCTTGCCTGTATTACAAGGTGTGAAGTTGAGTCAAACTCAATGCCCGACCACAACAGAAGATAGAGAGAAAATGAAAGGTGTTCCCTATGCTCCAGCCATAGGCTCTATCATGTATGAAATGCTGTGTACCAGACCTGACGTATGCTTAGCAATAAGTTTAGCAGGGAGGTACCAAAGTAATCCAGGAGTGGATCACTTGACAGCGGTCAAGAATATCCTGAAATACCTGAAAAGGACTAAGGATATGTTCCTCATTTATGGAGGTGACAAAGAGCTAGTCGTAAATGGTTACGTCGATGCAAGCTTTGACACTGATCCGGATGATTCTAAATCACAAACCGGATATGTGTTTATATTGAACGGTGGAGCTGTCGATTTGTGCAGTTCTAAACAAAGCGTCGTGGCGGGATCTACATGCGAAGCGGAGTACATAGCTTCTTCGGAAGCAGCAAATGAAGGAGTCTGGATGAAGGAGTTCATTTTCGATCTAGGTGTCATACCTAGTGCATCGGGACGAATGAAGATCTTCTGTGACAATACTGGTGCAATTGCTTTGGCAAAGGAATCCATATTTCACAAGAGGACCAAGCACATCAAGAGACGCTTCAATTCCATCCGGGACCAAGTTCAGGTGGGAGACATAGAGATTTGCAAGATACATACGGATCTGAATGTTGCAGACCCTTGAGTAAGCCTCTTCCACGAACAAAACATGATCAGCACCAAGGCTCCATGGGTGTTAGAATCATTACTTTGTGATCTAGATTATTGACTCTAGTGCAAGTGGGAGACTGAAGGAAATATGCCCTAGAGGCAATAATAAAGTTATTATTTATTTCCTTATTTCATGATAAATGTTTATTATTCATGCTAGAATTGTATTAACCAGAAACATGATACATGTGTGAATACATAGACAAACTTAATGTCACTAGTATGCCTCTACTTGACCAGCTCATTAATCAAAGATGGTTATGTTTCCTAACCATAGACATGAGTTGTCATTTGATTAACGGGATCACATCATTAGGAGAATGATGTGATTGACATGACCCATTCCGTTAGCTTAGCACTTGATCGTTTAATATGTTGCTATTGCTTTCTTCATGACTTATACATGTTCCTACAACTATGAGATTATGCAGCTCCCGTTTACCGGAGGAACACTTTGTGTGCTACCAAACGTCACAACGTAACTGGGTGATTATAAAGGAGCTCTACAGCTGTCTCCAAAGGTACATGTTGAGTTGGCGTATTTCGAGATTAGGTTTTGTCACTCCGATTGTCGGAGAGGTATCTCTGGGCCCTCTCGGTAATGCACATCACTATAAACCTTGCAAGCAATGTAGCTAATGAGTTAGTTACGGAATGATGCATTACGGAACGAGTAAAGAGACTTGCCGGTAACGAGATTGAACTAGGTATTGGATACCGACGATCAAATCTCGGGCAAGTAACATACCGATGACAAAGGGAACAACGTATGTTGGTATGCGGTTTGACCGATAAAGATCTTCGTAGAATATGTAGGAGCCAATATGAGCATCCAGGTTCCACTATTGGTTATTGACCAGAAACGTGTCTCGGTCATGTCTACATAGTTCTCGAACCCGTAGGGTCCGCACGCTTAAGGTTTCGATGACAGTTATATTATGAGTTTATGAGTTTTGATGTACCGAAGGTTGTTCGGAGTCCCGGATGTGATCACGGACATGACGAGGAGTCTCAAAATGGCCGAGATATGAAGATTGATATATTGCCTATATTTGGATATCGGAAGTGTTCCGGGTGAAATCGGGATTTTACCGGAGTACCGAGGGGTTACCGGAACCCCCCGGGGGCTTAATGGGCCATAGTGGGCCTTAGTGGAGAAGAGGAGAGGCAGCCAGGGCTGGGCCGCGCGCCCCTTCCCCCCCTCGTCCAAATAGGACAAGGAGAGGGGGGCGGCGCCCCCCCCCTTTTCTTCCTCTCTCTCCCTCCTCTTTCCCCCTTCTTCAAGTCCAACAAGGAATGGAGGGAGTCCTACTCCCGGTGGGAGTAGGACTCCCCATGGCGCGCCTCCTCCCTGGCCGGCCGCCCCCTCCCCCTTGCTCCTTTATATATGGGGGCAGGGGGGTACCTCTAGACACAACAATTGATCTCTTGATCTCTTAGCCGTGTGCGGCCCCCCTCCACCATAGTCCTCCTCGATAATATTGTAGCGGTGCTTCGGAGAAGCCCTGCGACGGTAGAACGTCAAGATCTTCACCACGCCATCGTGCTGACGGAACTCTCCCTCGACACTCGGCTGGATCGTTGTTCGAGGGACGTCATCGAGCTGAACGTGTGCTAGAACTTGGAGGTGCCATAGTTTCAGTGCTTGATCGGTCGGGCCGTGGAGACGTACGACTATATCAACCGCGTTGTTCTAACACTTTCGCTTCCGGTGTACGAGGGTACATAGACAACACTCTCCTCTCTTGTTGCTATGCATCACCATGATCTTGAGTGTGCGTAGGAAAATTTTGAAATTACTACGTTACCCAACACAGTCTACTGCACTGACGCTGCCATGTCAAGCTCCTCTGTCCTCTACTCAGAGCTCTCCTATTCATTCCTCTCGACGCCGAAGCCCTTCCCCTTGATCTCCTTGCCCACGTCCTACTACACTAGAGTCGTTTCCGGCGTCGCTCATCTCGGCCTACTCTCTGTCATCGTCCTACTGCACTGACGCTGCAATGGCACGCACACTGCATTCTTGTGTCCTCTGCCTTCGTGCACACTGCAGTTCGCCGCGCTGCCGACGGGGTCGATCATCTTGGCCTCCTCTCTCTCGCCCTACTACACTGGAGTCGTTTCTGGCGTCGATCATCTTGGCCTCCTCTCTCGTCCACTGCACTGACGATACCATGGCGCGAGCACTGCATTCTCCTCCTCTGTCCACTGTCTTTGTGCGAGCACCAGAACTAGTTCGCCGATGGTGTCGCTCGCCGTGCCGCCAACGGGGTCGCTCGTCCATGACTCCATGCTCGTCATGTCGGACACGGAGCCACGGCCACTATCCACCGCAGTCACCATGGTCCGACGCACACTGCATTTCTTCTCCCCCTTCCTCTGCTAGCTCTTAACCCTGTGTGCTAAGTGCAAGTGCTAGCTCTTAATCATACCCCATGCGGGCAACCAAACAACATGTAGTTGCATGTGCCGAGACAATGCAGGCAACCAAACAACATGCCAAAGTTGATCCCCTAATGTACGAAGTCCATATGCAGGCAACCAAACAACTCGCAAATGTCGCATATAAGGTTGTTTTTTCAGAGCCAGGCTGAGTGGAGAAGGATATGCACCGCATGTACTGTAGCACACAACAACCAAAACATGCCCTTATCAATGCGGTCGCTCCAACGAGCGGACGCGAAGAAGCTTTTCCGTGAAAAATATACTTTTTTCCTTTCCTTGTTCTTGTGTTTATAATTGCACGTGAGCGAGTGCTACCAACTTGCATGTAATGGATGCATGTTTGGGCTCTTGACCTGGTCAATCAACACATGTATGCATTTCATCCTTTTTGGGCCACCTCAGGCTCCATTCCAATTCAGCCGTCAACCATAAAATTCGTTGTGGTGCTTTTTTTGTCTTTCCAAGCGTTAGGTGAACTATCCAAAATCATTCATTTTGACCTGACTTGATTCAAACCAAAATAATTTGCACGTACAAACCAAACCTGCACAGCCGTCGATTTCACAAACGGTTTCCTCAATCCCAACGAAGCTATCTCAATTCTATCTAGCTAGAACAAGACTGAGCAACAAGAAACAGAAAAACAGCGAGCGATCCGTTCATCATCTTCAAGTCATGGAGTGGTGGCTCCAGCACCATGAATCCATGGTGGCGCTGTCCTCTGAGGCGCCGAGCAGCTGCTCCAGGTACTCCGCACCAAGGTCCTCAAGCTCCATCACCATGCCCTCTGGCTGCGCCCCCCGGGTGGCGGCCTTCGACTTCATGCCTGTGGTCATGGCCTTCCGGCTACGCATGGAGTGCCGCCGCTTGAGCGCCAGCACGGGCGAAACGCCGTGGGCACAGCCACACACGTCGGCGACGGCGCCCTCGAGAGAGCGCCTGACATGGTCGGCAGGGAAGTTGAGCACGGCGGCGCCGCCGCGGATGGCGAACGCAGCTTGGTCGTAGGCCAGTGCCGCAGCTTCCGGGCTGTCGAAGGTGCCCAGCCACACCCGCACGCCGTTCCGCGTCGAGTCACGGATCTCTGCCGCGTACTTGCCCCACGGCCGCTTGCGCACCCCGCGGAACGCGCGCCCGGCGCTGACTTGGTGACCTGCTTCCTCTCGCTTCACCGGCGCCGCCACGGCCTTGTGCGTGTCTTGCTGGTGCTCTGAGAGCATGTGGAGCAGGAGCATCTCGTGGGCATCGTTGGTGTCGAACGGGAGCAGGGGCGGCGTGGTCAGAGCACGGTGGTGCCCTGGCGCGGAGTCGGCAGAGCCAGTGGACGAGCCCGGGGAGTGGAGAGAGAGTTGGCGGGATGCTGCTTCTGCGTGTTAGTTCTGCTGCGTGGTCATGGCACGGTGGGTCAAGAAGTTAGCGACGCCGGTGGTGAGCCGCGGGGAGGTCGATGAAGAGGACGGCGAGGAAGAGGCCGTGCTGGAACTGATGGAGGCTCGGCTCCATGTTTTCATACCGGTGACAGGGGTTGGTTGAGCTCAAGATGAAGCAGGGGCGAGTAGAGTCGGGATTTATAGGAAAAATGCTTTGCTTCCTGGTCTCCTTTTCTTAACTGTTTCTGGATCCTCTGCTTTGCTGAGGCAGACTTGTGATGGCGACGTGCTCTTGTATTTGTGATGCTATTGATATTTGTAAGAGCATTTTCTAAGTAATGGTAGTAGTGGATTTTATGATGTGATAGGGTTAACAATTGAGATGCAAATTCAAGTGATTACAGCCAAATAAAAACAATAGAAATCCATGAATCTTAAAGAAAAAAAGTCAACAAATACTGGATGTTAAAATCTAGAACTACTAGCGAAAAAACTCAAGGGATTAGGCTATGTTTGATAGCAAAGTACTAGAAAGACCAAAGTATTGAAAACCACAGTATTTTTGCCAATAGATACAAGATACCACAGTTTTCACATACCAAAGTATTTTAAAGTATTGAAAATACTGTGACCCGTTTGGCAAGTGCTTATGTGCACCAACGTAAATTAGCTAACTAGCATATGAAGCAGTTGCAGTGTGCATGTTGCTAGCTAGCTAGCTGGACGCACTGAATAGCCATGCATAACAACCAGCTGCATGCACTGAACTACCATGCACAAAGCTAGCTTACAGGAAAAGAAGGCACTTGAACACGACGCAGAGCTGCCGGCAGCTAAACGTGGGCTCGCTCTCCAAGTTCAAGGGCGCCTTGTTCCTCTCAGCTGGCACTGTGCAGTAGGAGGGGTAACAAAGCGGCCACAAAGGCAGGTGCCAGCGGCCAGCGCGGAGAGGTGGAGGACAACTATCAGCATCTCACGCTCTTCTCTCCTTTGACGTCTCTTGGTTTGTCCCTGATCGAGACGATGTCCAGAAACAACATGGTGGCTGCAGTTTAGAGGGAGGAAGAAGATAAACCATGCAGTGTTTCTTACTTTCTTCCGCATGCTCTGTTTTTAAAAAAGAGGTCAAGGGTTCTTTTTTTAAAACAAAGAAAATACCGTGGTTTTGTAAATACTGTAGTTTTAATACCACAGTTTTCAGTCATAGCCAAACAGTTCATAGTAATTAAAACTAAGGTATTTCAAAAAACTGCAGTATTCTTGAAATACTCCAAAAATACTTTGCTATCAAACAGGGCCTTAATGAATGTTAAAGAAAATAAAATCAATAAAGTCATGGATGTTAAAATCCAGAAATTTGCTAGCACTACTGGCGATTGGGAATGATAAAAGTAGTCGCACAGACATGGAGTTTTGGCAAAACCATCGCGCCGCCAGTCATTCCCCCACTCAAGCTCGGCAGGCTCTGGTGACGACGGCGGCGCGGCGTTTTCATCCGCTGGCGCTAGGAGGTTGGGACGGCGTGACTCTGGAGCGTGTTCGTGGTGCTCGGCTTCCTGGCCCGCGGGGCAAGGCAGCAGCGTGGCGCTTGGATTCTGGCAAGCGTGGCGACCGCGCTGGGTGTACAACGTCCTCAGGCGGCTGCTCCGACGGGACTCCCTCGGATCTGGCTCTCCCTTGGCTGGCGACCCAGTGGTGGTTTTGTCTATGGATGTGGAGCACGTCGACCAGTGTCCCGCCGACAGATGTTTGACTGCGGCTATAGCTTTGGCAAGGTCCGAAAAAATCGGATCGGCAACTGGTCGTACCCGTCCTCACCAAGCCATCCTGTGATCACAGGCGAGATGACCGATGACGCTACAGTCCATGGTTTGGTGGTGGTGTTTCAGATCTGGTCAGCCGAATGGGGTGCATGCAGACTATACAGTAGCCGCCTCCTAAGGCTTGACAATGGCGGTGGTCATCGAAAGATCTTCGGGAGTCCTCATGTCAAGATTCAGCGGTTGACTTCGGTGGTATGATACAAATTATGAACGACGACTTGACACAAACGGATGGTTATGTAACGGTAGTGGACATTACATGTAGCTACTGGGATCGTGGAAAAATGGTGGTGACAACACTTGATGACTTCGATGGTGCTACTCGAGCATGAAGTCGCGAGTTCTGGAATGAAATCCTAGGTCTGACCCGAGCTGTTTATACCTTGCAATGGCGATGTCTTTACATTGTTACTTTGTTGAAGGCATTGTTTAGATATGCTCGGATTGATTCTTCATGATGAAAGCCTATACTCTAACCTTGATGGTTGGATCTGGTGACATCGACGCTTGAGTGTCACTCCTTTCTTGAAGGCGTTGCTATTGAAGAACTTCTTCGACTGTGTGGTGTCACGACATGGATGGTGTGGATATGGTAATTATCATAGTTTAAGGATCATGGATTTGATCACTTTGGACTTTTTACTTTCATCTCGTCTACGCATAATTTTGGTCTGGTATAACTTTGCTATTGCCAGCGTGTTTTTTGTCTGCGTGTGTTAGTGTTATCTGTGTGCATCCTAACTATGCAGAGGTCAGGTGTGTGCTCTTAGGATATGTATTCTCTTGATACTACTTTTTGAGCCAATAAAATCCATCCTTTGTCCAAAAACAAAGGGAGTACGTATTATTAAGACTAGTTATCAAAAGAGGAAAGATCAAATGGAACATCGCGATCTATCCTCACGTTTTGGGACCATCATTTTTCCACAAGTCACGGCAGAAGAGAACGATATCCTCACGGCACCTTTCTCAGAAGAGGAGGTGAGAGCGGCTGTGTTCCAAATGGAACACAATAAAGCTCCAGGCCCTGATGGTTTCCCCGCAGAATTCTATCAGAATTTCTGGGATATCATCAAGACTGACCTTTTGGAGTTGTTCAATTGTCTTCATGCTGATCGGCTTGACCTATTCAGGCTGAATTTTGGCGAGATTGTCTTATTGCCGAAGATTAAGGAGGCCGAACGGATCCAACAGTTCAGACCCATATGCCTCCTTAATGTCAGCTTCAAGATTTTCACCAAAGTGGCTACGAATAGGTTAAACACAGTAGCTGACCATGTTGTCCGGCCATCTCAAACGGCGTTCATGCAAGGAAGGAATATACTCGATGATGTAGTAGTCCTACATGAGACCGTCCATGAGATGCACCGGAAAAACATGAGTGGAGTGATATTCAAAATTGACTTTGAAAAAGCCTATGACAAGGTTAAATGGTCTTTCCTCCAACAGGCTCTAAGAATGAAAGGTTTCTCAGATAAATGGTGCCAGTGGATCCAAAATTTTGTAACTGGAGGTAGTGTTGCCATCAAAGTCAATGATGAGGTAGGCCATTACTTCCAGACAAAAAAAGGCCTACGAAAGGGTGACTCCATGTCCCCAATGTTATTTAACATTGTTACTGACATGTTGGCTATTCTGATTGAACGCGCAAAGCAGGATGGCCAGATTGCAGGAGTAGTGCCACACCTTGTGGATGGTGGCCTCTCTATTTTGTAATACGCCGATGACACAATTCTTTTTATGGAACATGATCTGGACAAGGCTCGAAACCTGAAACTCTTGCTTTCAGTGTTTGAGCAAATGTCGGGTCTCAAAATAAGCTTCCATAAAAGTGAATTGTTCTGCTTTGGAGAAGCCTTTGAGGCGGCGACTGATTATGCTGACCTTTTTGATTGCGCGCATGGACAATTCCCGATTAAATATCTAGGAATACCGATTCATTATCGACGCCTCACCATTGCGGAGTGGAAGCATGTAGAGGAGCGTCTAGAGAAACGGTTGAGCAGTTGGAAAGGTAAACTGCTCTCGGTTGGGGGACGATTGGTTTTGATTAACTCGATCCTCACAAATATGGTTCTCTATATGCTTTCTTTCTTTCAACTCCCAAAAGGGGTCTTACAAAGACTGGACTATTTTAGATCTAGATTCTTTTGGCAAGGAGACGGTGAAAATAAAAAATACAGGCTGACCAAATGGAGCGTGGTTTGTAGGCCGAAAGACCAAGGTGGCCTTGGAATTCATGACCTGCAGGTCAAGAATGAGGCTCTACTCCGTAAATGGTTATTCAAACTTCTTACTGAGGATGGTGTTTGACAAACCATACCGCGTAACAAGTATCTAGGCCAAAAGGCGGTGTCCCATGCATTTTGGAAACCCGGTGACTCACACTTTTGGGCTGGCCTAATGGCGACAAAGAAACATCTCTTTCGCTTTGGGTCTTTCGCGATAAAGAACGGGTCAGAGATTCGTTTTTGGGAAGACATATGGCTAGGCAATGCCAGTCTCCAAGAACAATATCCAGCTTTATACAACATTGCTCGCGATAAGAATAATACTATTGTGCAGGTGCTCAATTCATCCCCACCGAATATTTCGTTCAAACGAGATTTGATTGGCCCCCCGACTTGTGTCATGGCATAATCTTTTATCCAGGTTGGATTCGATTAACCTGATAGAAGGCCGTGATGTGTTTCGCTGGAACCTTACTATATCTGTGTCTTTCACTGTAGACTCTATGTACCGTGCGCTCACACATTCTGAGGTACCTGTTAGTAATAACAAGAAAATTTGGAAGTCCAAGATTCCACTAAAAGTGAAAATTTTCATGTGGTATCTTCGTAGGGGAGTTGTGTTAACTAAAGACAACCTCGCACGATGCAACTGGCAAGGGAGTAAGAAGTGTTGTTTTTATACTCATGACGAGACAATCAAACACCTTTTTTTTCAATGCAAGTTTGCACGTTCTACGTGGTCAGTCATCCAAATAACGTCAAATTTGCATCCACCCACAAGTGTTGCCAATATTTTTGGCCATTGGTTGGA